GCTTACCATTCTGTTAAACTGATTTGAGGAAATTGGTACTCAAGCTTTTTGGTGAGATTTAAATAAGTATTGGTTGGATAATCTGTTTTGTAAACTGGTATTGTGAGATATATTAGACCAAGCTGTGGTGCTTCTTATATAGTCATTGGAGCTTGAAATTCAGACTGCAAATCAAACTGGAGTTGCTAAAACTGGGCTTGGAATGAAGTCAAATGGCTGTGAGTATAAATGAAATATTTGTGAATCAAATCTGATGATGATGATCATGAGTCGAGTTCTGCTGTGATGGAGAATAAAATATAGATGGTAATGATGATTTACGAATTCCTAATAGTAATAAGCCAAACTCATATTATCATTCTGCTTGAGCTTTGATCACAACTCATCTGACTTGATTTCTTTCATTTCATGCTCACATTCACTTCATTATCATCTTCATACATCACACAGCAGGAGATCTTCAATAGATTTATGTACAGGCTTGAGATCATTTGATCCTGTCAGTGTGAGTTTCACCTTATCAAGTTGTCTTATGATTCACAAGATCCATCTAAGCTATTGGTGTAACTCAAAGTGCCTCGTGATGAAAGAGTGAATCCACTGCTGCCAAGGATATACAGTCAAATCACAAAAGCTTATCACAAATTCCCTGCCAATTTGCTCCAGTTTGGCAAGCGAAATTGGTCAAGCTTTTGTGCTTTGACTGTACCATGGGCTTAATTAAGCCCCTCTTCCGACCCAGACGTGTCCGCTCCTGAAGAGGGGCTTATGAGTATGTAAAAGTTTGGCCTGATCACAGCAAGATTTTTAAGCACATTTGCTTGAATTCCCAATATGAGGGCTCAAAACATTGGAAAACCTCACAATAGAGTGTGAAGAGCTTCATCTGTGTCTCTTCTTACCACTTTTATCATATCAACAATTGTGGATTGCAAGGAAATTGAACTACAAGAGCAAGTGATTTTGAACAGGTCAAGCGTGTGTGTAGGCCCTGGATTGATTCAAAGCCAGATTTACAAGACCTCAACAACTTGAATGGGTCACTTTGCTCAAGTAAAGTGGTTCAAGCAGTGGTATGAGTGTGTGTACATACAAGTCTTATAAGATTCTCTGTTTGATTTTTTATGAGAGCACGTAAATGTCTAGAGGCTGAGCCCTCACAATGGGTTTTTAAGCAAAGTTACTTTGGAAGTCTTGCTGCGCTTGAGCCAAACCTGGGGTTTTATTCATCAGCTGCTCTTTGAGAGTGGATGTGGCTAGATGTGGCTGCATTGGAAGAGGGCCTTAGTTATGCTTAGATCTAACATCTACATACCATTAACTACAGTCAATCCAGATCTAGTGGTCCATTTGAAATTTTTATTTCTATTTTTGATACCAGTGCAATAAAGCTTGGAATCATCATAACATTTAATCCCAAAGACGGTTCGCGTACAAAACTGGACAAAATTCACCATTAGCGTGATTTTCCGGTTTTGTCCATTGGTCAAAATCATCCAGAAACATAAACAACCATTATATTTTCCAAACCAAAGATTTCCTCGGATTCGGAAGTCATTTATTTACCCAAATTCTTCAAGGTATGACCGTTAATCCTTCGTTCTGACTTTTCATTCCTCCTTGTTTGACACTGATTGCCTCAAGACTACCGGATATCATCCCATCATGATTTCACATTAACGAATCTCAACGCGTGTCAGAGTTCTCTTCATCATCATCATCATCATCTCAAAGACTCGTGCGATGATACGGTCACAAGCGCTATCGATGTGAAAAACCTGTCAGGATCTCTCCGCGCGACCTGAGCCGAGGTGGCGAGCATGAGGATTACCACCTAGCAAGCGTACAAAGAAGGTTATCAGAGTTCACGGCGTGATGGCAGCGCGATTTCGCTGCCCATATCCACCGAGACAGTACTGTGATCATGAGACTTTCAAGGCCGCTCGCTGTGTGGATTTCACAATTGTCACCAAGTCAAATCCAACCACGAGCCAATGAAGGTCTTGGGCGCAAGAGTCTCTTTTGTTTCAAACAAGAGAGGAAGAGAGCGGGAGGTTTAAGAACTTCTTCAATCGACAACCAATATTGATCACGATCAACGATTCAAGAAGGAAATTCAGGTTTAATTTCAAAGGTTCAGATCATCACTTGATAATCAACTTCATTGGCTTACCGCGCTATTCAACAAAACTTAGCTGGTTTGCACCCAGAGGACCTTGCTATGGTCGCCAACTTATTGATTAGCGTTAGAAAACCATTGGATGATCGAAAGCTTCACCTTGAAGAAGTTGTGGTTTTTCCCTCTCGTGCTGGAAAGAACAGACATAACACTCTTAATAAATATGTTGATGCGGCACAGAACCAATTTATCACTTTACTTTGGGATGTCAGTGTTTTGAATTCTCCTTTCTTCAAATGTACAGAAAGCTAATAGTCTTCTTGCTTGAAAAGCAACAGGATCTCTCTCATCCTCCAACAGTGGATTTGAACCCTAACCATTGCTTCAGAAAAGTAGATGGGAGTGACACGACCTCGCCAATGATCCACTTGGAGCTGCCAATCAACCGTATTCCAGATCTGTTCGACCTAATCATCCTGTCCCGACTCACATAGCTGAGCCCGAAGACATGTTCGATGCTATATTGCGTTGACCTACGGGATAGACAGGTTTTACCCCTCGCCCAGCCAACCTTTCTAGCTTGTTCTTTGGTTTTGCAACTATCGTCATTCACGATATATGTCAGTCTATCTCTTTTGTAATTTATCTTGGTATACGCGCCATTTTAGCAATATACGCTGATAAATTATCGATCATTAACGCCTACAGTCGCAAGTTGCGACTTTGGTCTGATGAATTACCGAGATGACATCGATTTCACCTTGGTCGCAACTATTTGGTATCCTGATTAGACATGAAAGAAAATCGATTTTGAACTACCCAGCACCAGCTTTCCTTAGCTTTTTTGCACAAGTGTTTTATGTGATTACCAGAGTTACCATGGTTCAAGGGATATTTGTGAAAGGTTGATGATATTATTGATGTGACAAAAGGCCTCATTTGTCATTTCTAAACTTCAGCACCATGATACCGTTCCCTGGATCCAGATGCCCCAAACAAGGTTTTGACTACATACACGATCACAATACTATAAAATCTGGTACTTGTTAAACTGCAACAGCTTGAGCGCTATTAATATCTTGGAAATTATTGTATAACAATGCTTTTGCCTCGGATCGATTGCTCATGATGCCCTCCGTGTCTTGTGGCGTGCTTGTTCTCTTGTCCAGAAATCGAAAGTGAGGATTAAATAATTGACTTGAAATTCTCACATTGAACTCACTCTTGCTCCGTCATCCCAAAAAGACAACCACATAGCCAATAAGTCATCAGAACTCGATGAACGCAGTCATTGGCGATCAGAACTAATCAAACTCAGCAAAGACGAGTTGTAACCACAAGACGATGAGTGAGATCATTGGTGCCGCACAACATGTTAATTGCGGTTATCACGCTGGAATCATCCTTAGAGATTATCTACAGATGGGCCCTTCAATTTCCACAAATTTACGCGTAAAGAAACTCATTGATAACTTGATCATTATTCTCTGCGTACTCTTCAAGGCCATTTTGAACATGACCCAAGCCTTCAGATCCATTCAACTACACAACCAACAAGTTGTACTTTGAAATATCACCTCGCCATCGGATCATTTGGTTGGTCGCGTGAGCGGTTATTGAACACTGGGCATTTGTTGGTCAAGAACCCTTTTGAGACTTTGTCTGATAGAGCTTCATCAACTGATCAATATCCTCATTGGCATCATCAAAACTTTTTGGGTCAATCGTGGATTCACATCCCAGTGGCGGGCGTGGTAACGCCTCCGGTCGAGCTCTATACGACCAAATTACGAGTGACAATCCATCAACTTCACACTTGCATCAGTTTGTAGATTCATCTGCTTATCCCTTCAAGGCTTCATCCAACTAAATGGTCCATTCACACCCACCACCACTGTCTTTGTTGACCACGTCATCTCAGCAGCAGTGAGACTCTTTTTAACTACTCAACTGTTTCATTAGCTTCATTTTTCCATTTAAGCAATCATCTCTCACCTTCTGGAGATCCATTTCTAATCATGGAAGAATTTCAATCAATATCTTGTTTTGAGTTCCAGACTCAAAAAATTGGCCAATTGGAATGATACAAACAAATCTGCTTGACCCTTCCATTTTATCGTGATTAAGTGGACTGCAATTCATTCATTGCCAATGGGTCGCTTACTCTTCCTCTTGCAATTATTGTCAAACTTTTACATTCTCAAAATCTACTCGCCTCAACATTCACCCCAATCTGTCATGTGTGCACTTGAATGACTTGATGCTTGTGCATACAGATTTGACAAAACAAATGGGTCCTCACCTTTATCTAATGTTAGATCATCATCTCGACCTGGGCCTGGTTGGTTGGTTTTTTACATGTACAGACACAGCTTCTTTGCTCCATCTTTGCATTTTGTGTCGTCCAGAAGCTACATTTTTGAAAATTTCAGCTAAACAATTTGCCATCTTTCAATTTTGATTACTCTGACTGGTTAATTGAATGGTCTTTGAGCATAAAATTTCCAGATCTATAAAATATGTTTATCAAACTACCTGGGAATATGCAAACAACCCGCAATCTTTTTGGCTGAGTTATATTGAAGGAGAAGAAATCTCTCTGGCTGAAAATGCTCAGAAACGTTATGAGTAAATGGAGATGGTATGATACTCTATCTGCACCTGTGGTTTTTTTTGTCCTCAAATGTAACCTCATTTTTACTATTAAATCAGCATACTAATCAGAAAAATAAGAGACCATTTTTATCTCAATTTCTTACATTAGAAAACCTATGTAAAGGTTTTTCTCAACCTTAATTTCTTTTCAATTTAATTTTCTTCAATCTCTTCAATTTCTTGTCCTCTATCTTGATTTAAATCTGTTATCAAACTATTCAATTCTTCTGTATCTTCTAACCCAGAAACATTTGATTTCTTTTCATCAAACTTGGTTTCATATATACAAGGAGGATTGGTCATGGTCATGTAGATAATGTTGATATGTCTGTAGTAGGAGACATTTTTGAATAAGGCTTTTTAAGTTTATAAGTTGTACAAGCTGAACAACAACCCATAAGTGTCAAAGAGATACCTTCTTTGATAGTATCTTCTTGTAATTCATAATCTTGATAATAAGTTAAACTTCCTGAATAAGGTGAAAGCTGTGAAACTGAGGGTTTATCAATCAAGGACATTTGCATGTTGTATTTCTGATGATGTTCATTGGAAGCTGTTAATTGGATTGAAAGTTTCTCGAGTGAGAAAGGTTAACAGGAATGTGAAGTGTATGTGGTTATCTCTTTGATTTCTGTATTTTGTTAATTCTTTCAATCTTGATTGGAAGCTGCAGTAAAGAGTTGGATTGGCAATTCTAGAATTGAAAAATGTGAAGGAGATGTAATGGGAAATGGGATTGACAGTGGATTCTGACTTGGCTTAGTACTACGCAAAGCAATTATCTAGCTTTTTTCATGGAGTTTCTACAACTGGACTTTTCATATTGATCTTGAACAGTATGTCTTGAGATTACAGCTTCTACACTATTGACCTGTGGAATCATATCTATTCCATTCTCTTCAATTGGTGCAGAAACTTGAGAAGAGAAATGTTGATATTAGATATCACCTATCTTTGGTTTATAGCTCTTATTATCTGTACCTCATAAAGTTAACTCATCTTGACTTTCATCATTTTGGAAAGGAGAAGATGGAGGTTTTGGAAACACTAATTTCTGCTTCATATTGAAATTTTTGTGAAATTTATTACAAATTACACCTATTATGTTGCATACAGGAATTGGGGAATTGGAATGATAACAATATTTGGGCTTCAAGGTGGAAATCCAAGTTAAAGAGGTTTCCTATCAAGAACAGGTTTGTATTGAATTTTGTTCATCATGTCATACCAAGAGTTTAATTTCAATCTGAATTGAGTCTCTGTTTATTGAACAAGTATATCATTCAACTTTGGTTCAATATGTTATTTCATGTCTCACATGGATTATCTTTTTGAAGCTCAATGGCCTGTTTAGCTCTGTATTGCATCTTCCGGTTTAGTTCAACTTGTGATAAGGATTTGTGTTGTAAATAATATTGCAGAAGTGAATTTTTATCCTTGCTGCTTTACTAATTGTGTGCGTGTGGAGGTTTCAATTTGCAACCTGGGTGATGTACACAATTAACCAAATTTTCTTGATTGCCATTTGCAAACAAAGGGTAATTGCACCCTTCTTTGATGAGACTTGACATGGCGGCGTCAGCCGCTAAGGCGGCGCCTGCCGCTAAAGCGCTAGTATAAGCATATTGCTTCAATCAAGTATTTTGATTGAGGCTCTTTGACCACCATTCTCTTTTTTCTTACATTTCAAGCTTCCACATTTCTCTCTTTCATCTCCAATTTTTCAAGTTTTTCTATAATCATGCCTTTTGTGAGGTACACCAAACAACTCCAGGTGTTTTCCCTCACCAAGTTAATGGCCAGCCAATCCAAAAAATCCATCAACATTGACATCATACTATAGTGCTACACAAACATCTCAACCCAACCTGAAAAACAGCCATGACAACCCAATTGGTTTTTGGATTTTTTTTAGGTTGGGTTGAAATGTTTGTGTACCACTATTACTTTGGTCTCAGCCAAATCCATCTCACAATGGAAGGCTCTCTACCACAAAACTCTTCCAGTGGGTTGTGATCCTAGAGCCTACCATCAATCAGGACATCTGAGTCTATACTTGACAAGGGTTGAAATTCCATGGTGGAACTCAGTGATGCCAATCCAACCCTGTGTCATGAAAAATTCCAAGCTGCAATGTACAATCAGACCAGCCTTGGGGCCTGTTGATAAACCAATGCCATACAAGACTCCAATCACCTACCCAAGTTCCTGGTTTTTCTTGGTGAGTCTATTTGTCTCTCCTTGACCTTGTGGAAAAAAAGGACCCAACTAGCATTGATATAAATTCTCATGTCCTTACATAGACAATGTGGTTTACAAGCACAGGATGTGCAACATAATCACAAGGCAAGCGGCCACAACCTTTGAGATGTACAGTCAATTTCAGAAAGCTTGGAAACTTTTGCCCACCAAACTTGAGCAAATTGGCACGGAATTCTTTCCAATCTTTGTGAAATTGACTGCAAC